GCCGTTTGCAGATTCAGCTCGTGCAGGCAAGGAGTGTTTTGGTGCCGTTTGCAGTTTCAGCCGTTTGCAGTTTTAACTCGTTCAGGCAAGGAGCGTTTTGGTGCTGTTTGCAGTTTCAACTCGTGCAGGTAAGGAGCGTTTGTTGCCGCCTTTTATGCTCGTGCGAACAAGAAGCGTTGTTGGTTCGTCAAGCGATCCAGGAGAGTCGTTCCTCGCAATCTTCATAGTAAGAAGCCTTGACTGAGTAGTTGAAGAAGTCTTCTAGAAAGATGTCACGCATCGTGATGGGGATGGATGATCTCCATGTCAAAGTTTCATTATCTCCAACACTTTCACATTGTTTTGGAGGTTGACAAGAGCTGCTTTGCCCCCTTTCCCATTGGTGAACTTGTGGAAGAGATGGTTGCTGCCTGGAGAGGCGTTCCTCGCAATCTTTATAGCAAGGAGCCTTGATCGAGTTGCTAAATAATTTTCTGAGGAACAAGAGATCGCGCATGGTTGATCTTTGTGTTGAAATTTCCTCATCTTCAACACTTTCACAGCGCTTTGGAGGTTGGCGAAAGCTAACTTGCCTATTTTCCGATGGGTGAACTTGTGGAGAAGACTTATGCTTCTTGTGTAGTTTCTTTGGAGTGACATAAGTTCATCCTTCAACTTCACTTGACTTGACTGTCATGGTTTTGGAGCATGCCCCCAGCGGTTGAAGTGAAGATTTTGAGTCGAAAGAGCTAGAAGTGATAGTGGTATAGTTTGACTTCACCATATTGTCAAGATCTAGCTTAATGATTCCTTTCTGAACCAACTTCATGATAAGGTCTTTCAGCACGAAGCATTTTTCCGTTGGATGACTGATGAAACGGTGGAATTTACAGTATCTTGGACTATCAATGCGATTCATCTCTTCCGGCAGTCTGCACTCAGGTAGGTCGATCACCTTTATGTCAAGCAAGTCTTTCAAAATGGCAACCACATCAGAGTCGGGGAATGGATAAGTCTTCTCCTCAAGCTCCTTCAAAGTGCGTTTACGCATCTCTTGATCACGAAAAGCTTCGGTTTGAATCACCTTGCCTCTTGTAGAGATTATGACGGGAATTGTGTGGACCATCATTGCTTCCTTAGTGGGTTTCCACGCAACCTTCTCCACCTTCGGCCCAAAAACTTTATTGTTTTTGTAGTCAGCGATCGGTTCTTTCTTCCCATGATGGGCGATGCTCAACTCCATGTCATGGGCGCAAGTGGCTAATTCCTCGAAAGTCCGTGGTTTGATGCCTTGAAAGATATAGTGTAACCCCCATTGCATGCCTTGGACGCACATCTCAATTGAGGAGATCTCCAAGAGCCTATCCTTACAGTCGAGGCTTAGAGTGTGCCATCGGTTGATGTAGTCCACGACTGGCTCATCTTTCCATTGCTTCGTACTTGTCAGCTCCAACATGCTTACAGTGCGGCGAGTGCTGTAGAAGCGGTTGAGGAACTCCCTCTCTAACTGATTCTAACTGTTGACAGATTCGGGGTCGAGGTGGGTGTACCAATTAAAGGCATTACCTTTCAGCGAGCGCATAAATTGCTTGATGAGGTAGTCTCCCTCCGTTCCAGCATTGATGCAGGTTTTGACGAAATGTGCAACGTGCTACTTTGGGTTTCCTTTTCCATCAAACTGCATGAACTTTGGTGGTTGTTAACCCCTTGGCATCTTTAGGGCATCAATCTTCTTGGAGTAGGGCTTTGAGTAAAACATGGACATATGTGAGTTCCCTTCGTACTACGCCTTGATGGTGTTGGTGATCATCCCCTGCAGCTGCTGGATAGAGAGAGATATCATGAGTGCCGCTGGCTCCGACTTCACATCGACTTTCTCCACCGGAGGCTCCTCTTCTTTGCCAGCTCCTCTTTTTAGTGGATCATCCTCTGGGTCAGGGTTATCGCCGTCATGTGGCTCTAGTCAGCTGACAAGTTCAGCGATTTGCAAGTCTTTTTCTTCCACAATCCGTGTTAGCCTTGCGATCGCTTCATTCATTTGAGCCAGTTATTATTCGATGGAGGTAACGTCGATGGTCATGACTTGTGCAACCAATAAACATGACTTTCCTTTAGACATCTAGGATGCTGACGAAGAACATCGTTGGCTGCTTTGGGATGTCATCTTGTGTGCCTTAGTAGCATGCTTCGGTGCCCCCAGCAAGGTCAGGTTGATGACGGACTCACATCTGATGCTCCCTTTACTCCTTTAACAGCACCAACTTTGAAGTGGCATGTTGATGAGCGGTTGTGGCGCCAATGGATTGTCCGTTTGCGACAGAAGTGCTCAGAATCCTTCCCTTGGCGGTTACGAGAATGGCTTATCCCTTGATTGATGCCATTGACTTTGAGGTGTGTTTGGGTTCCTTGAATGGAGAAAGGGATGAGAGGTAGAGATGGTCCCACTGGGCATGCCAAATTTGTGAACACGAAAATTCCTGCAACAAACGACACAAGAACACGTGTACAAAATAATATTTTGTATTAATGATTTTGGGGTTACAATCTCTCTCAAAATTGATCCTCTGATTCAATCTCTGTAAGGTGTTGATTTGTGGATGTGCGATTGATCCAAGGGCCGTCGAGGCTTGATCTTGGATGAACGGTTGAAAGTTTTCTTCAAGGGCCGTTAGGGCTTAATTTTGAAGGTTGAGGGAAGTTTCTTCAAGGGCCTTTGGGATTGATCTTGAAGGTTGATGGATGAACGGATCTTCAAGGCTTTTGGGCTTGATCTTGAAGAACTGTTGATGAACGGATCTTTAAAGGCCTTTGGGGCTTGATCTTGATGAACAGTTGATGAATGGATCTTCAAGGGCTTTTGGGCTTTATCTTGAAGAACAGTTGGATATGTGGATTTGTTGATGTTGTTGATCCAAAGGGTCGTTAGGGCTTGATCTTAGGATGAACGGATGATGAACGATGAACACTTTCTTCAAGGGCCGTCGAGGCTTGATCTTGAATTGGTGAAAGTTCTTCAAGGGCCGTCGAGGCTTGGTCTTGACGGAGGATTTGACGAAGAACGAAGAAGGCTTTCTTGATCCTTCAGGATTTCTTGGGAATTTAGGAGGTTGGATGCTTGAAAGCTTTAGAACTTTAAAGCTTCAAGGATTTAGGGAATTCTTTTTCAATTTGGGAGTAGAGAAAATATATATGTGAATTGGTCTTCTAAAATGAATGAAATGGCTTCTATTTATAGAATTTTCCAAGGCCTAATTTTGAATATATTATTAAGATGAAATAAATCGTTTCTATCAGGTGTTGACATGTGTCCTGCTTGATGATTTTTTCGATTTATTTTGATTTTTCGTTTAGTCACACACTACGTGTAAAATTTATGTGACATGTGAGCATTGAAATTGTAACTATTGGTCAACATTTATTTCACTGAAATTTCGATGTCTACACACGTTCAACACAAAAAAATTAAATTGAATCAATAGCATGTAAATTAATTCAATAAAATAATTAATTAATCATAATAAGAATAATTAAAACATAATACTCTCTTGATTAAAGATCAAACTCTTGTTAGCGCAGCCTCAAGAGCGTACTGATAACATGTTATATGCATAATTTACTGAACAATTATGGAGGCCATAGAGAGAAATGTGTGGCAATAGTAGAGAGAAAAAAGAGATGTGTAATTGTGAGGTGTATTCTATTCCACCTCATTGTGCCTTTATTTATAGTAGTATGGAAGGTTAATTCCTTACCCTTTTAGGATTACAACTCTTTAATAGATAATCAACTCCTAATAGAAATATAAGAGATATTCCAAAATATACTAGGATTTACACAATCACATTCCTAATCTAATAGGGCTGCAACAATTAGGTACTTTTTGTTAAAACTCCTTATAAAAGTTTGTTGTAGAACAACATCTCGAAGGGTGCAAGCAAAGCATGGCATACGAGTGACTGGCTGCCTTTCTCTCTCCTCCCCCTGCTAATAACTTTTAGAGAGAGAAAAATGAAAGCATTGGAGTTTGCTCAATTGGGTTTGGCGTAATCACCCAAAAAGACTATTCATTTCTTTTAAAAATTGGGTAAATTACATAGTAGCCCATCAGGTTTGAGGTCTATTGCAATCTTATACAACATCTTTATTGCAATCTTATACAACATCTTTAAAACATTTCACTTTCATACCTCAAGTACTATTTTATTTCAATTTCATACAACTGTTACATTTTCCATCCATGAATCTGTTAAATGCTGACGTGGCTGCCACATATATACCATGTGGCTGCCAAATGTTTGCCACGTGGCAAATAAAATAATTTTTTAATTTTTTTTTTAAAAAGCTGATTTTTTTTCTTCTTCTTCTTTCTTGCAAGTTTTTGGGTTCTTCAGGGATGTGGGTCGCTAGGGGGAAGAAGCAGGAGGAGGAGAAGGAGGAAGAAAAAGAAGAAGAAAAAAAAGAAAAAAAAGAAAAAAGGATCGAACCCCCTGCAACCCAAAAGAAGGAGGAAGAAGAAGAAGGGAAGAAGAAGAAAAAAAAAAGGGACTAAACCCCCTGCAACCCAGATGAAGAAGGAGGAAGAAGAAGAAGAGAAGAAGAAAGAGGAGGAGGAGGAGGAAGAAGAAGAAGAAGAAGAAAAAAAAAAGGGACCGAACCTCCTGCAACCCAGAAGAAGAAGGAGGAAGAAGAAGAAGAAGAAGAAGAAAGAAAGAAAAAAAACCGAACCCAGAAGAAGGAGGAAGAAGAAGTAGAAAGAGAAGGAAAAAAAAATAAAAATAAAAATTGTCCCGAAATTAAAAAATTATTTTTATTTGCCACGTGGCAGACATTTGGCAGCCACATGACATATATGTGGCAACCACGTCAGCATTTAACACATCCATAGATGGAAAATATAACGGTTGTATGAAATTGAAATAAAATAGTACTTGAGGTATAAAAGTGAAATATTTTAAAGATGTTATATAAGAACCTCAAACCTGATGGGCTACTATGTAATTTAGCCTTAAAAATTTCATCCTCCTCTCTATCTATCTATCTTGCCTTGGACCCTCCGAAGAAAGAAGGGTCTTCTGATACCTCTCTGTCTTTCTGTCTCTCCGCCATAGCTGTTGATCTTTTCCTCTCATGGGTTTTGTTTACTCCATTCATCACATGCTTCTGGTTCTCATATATTAGCTGAATTCAATCTCTCTCCGGCTCTGCATATTTTTTTGTGGGTCTAAAATTTTGCTTTGTGGGTTTAAATAAATGGCCACCAATGCATCTAGGTTCTTCACTGCTCCTACAGTTCCGAGCCAGAGGAGGAAGATTCAGCCTTCAATACGCATTTTTGGATCTGGGTTTCGTTCCCCTGAGGAATCTCCAAGAGGGTATTCTGCTCCAGCACTTTTGAAGGCGCAGAGAAGCATGTTGGAGCTTCCGCTTTTGAATCTCGATCACCCAAGTGAGTTCAATCTCCATTCTTTCATTCTTTTTGGTGATATTGCCCCTTATTGTTTTGTATGTTGGATTTTGCATTTGATTTATTATCTTTGTTGGAAAGCTTCATAATTTGCATTTATTCATAAAGTTCTTTAGCTTTCTGGTTTTACTTGTATATGCTAGATTTGTTTCGATAAGTAGGATTCGAGTTATGGTTGGCAATAGCATGCCAGTGCATAGTCATTTTCTGTATGAAAGGGATGGGGAATAAATTCCCATGTGTGAACTTGTGCTGCACAAAGTTTTTAAATTTTGGGTTCGGATATATTATCACTGAGGATTGGGAATTGGATGATCTTATTCATCTCCATTGCAGTAGGATTTACAAGGCTTAAGCAACGAAGCCAGCTACAACCGATCCAAAATCAAACCAACTTTTTAGTAACTACAATCAATTTAAGGCTAAAATTTGGGGAAGTATACATATACATAGATGATTAAGGCACAGTAAAGTAACTGTCTAACAAATCAATCTTAGGACTAACTAGAGGATGCAACTAAGTTAGAAGCATTTTCATTGATGTAAGTTGGGTTAGAGGCATGAGTTTAGGTGAATCAGTATTTGGCAAAAATATTAGATTTCCTTTTGATGATACTTCTAGATGAGGTTTTGTATTGGTTTTTAAAGGTTGCTTGTATCACTGTTCTTCCGATGGCTTCGCCATCTGTCTGCTCTCTCTCTCCCACTTAAAATAAGAGAATGTTTTGGATGATGGAAGGGAAATAAAGGCCATAATCATGAACAAAACTAAAAGTTTCTCTTATCAATTTACCACTTTTGTAGACCCACTTAAAGTGACTTTTTCTTGCCTATTGTCGTCTGGCTATCTTATTAACCCCAGAAAAAAAAAATTTGTTTATCAAATTAAGGTTTTTTTTTTCCTTTTCTTGCATTTGGATTGTCTTTGCGCTCTGTAGCTATCTTCTCTAATGGCTTGGGAAAGGGTGCTAAATGTAGAACATGACCAAATTACCAAACTCCTTTATTGAATGCCTAGTGTGTTATTGAACTTTGTCCTGAATGAATTGGTTGTTTATTTCTGTTTTTGTAAAATCTAAAATTTAATTCGTACCAGTGGCCCATGGCTTTGGATGGATCTTTTAAAATTGTCTCCTGCATCTAATTATAATTGTTCTTGGTTAAAGCTATCTCAGGTTCGACCGTGGCCACTGCTATGTGTTTTATGTAATAAACAGAGTGCCTTTGCCCAGAGCCACTGTCAGTACTGGGATTGCATTTTGGTTAAATAGCTGGTAAATGATAATCTGTCTGATCTTAAATAATCTCTATTTTATTTCAGGCTTGTCAATAAAGGCTGCAAGTTAATTGGATGCAGCTCAGCAGTACCCAGTCTTAAGATTTCAAATGATGATCTTGCGAAAGTAGTAGATACTAACGATGAATGGATATCTGTTCGCACTGGGATTCGTAATCAACGAGTTATTTCAGGGAAGGTCATACTTTTCTGTGCATGATAATGTCATTAATTTGGTAAACAGGTTGAGGTAGCTTAGCCTGTGTTGAGCCTCTTTTTTTAAATCGCATGCTATGGGTTTAACTTAAAAAATTCAGCTTCATAGTCTCATACTTGTGGTGCATATGCACTGCATTACAAGTGGAAACAATCTGTTGGACCTCTCAGGTTGACGATTTTAATCTTGCCTAGGATAAGGTTCGTTAGGTAGCGGCTTGTATGACCTTCTTTCTGTCGCTATTGAACGAAATCTGTTGCATAGTACCATGGCTTCACCATTCTATTCGGACAGCTGAAACTATAAGCATATGGCGAGGTTTGACCTGATTAATGCTGGTAGTGTAAGATGTGTAAGAGCCTAAAAGGGATTTTCCTATGTTGTACTGGATATTTGAATGCTTTTACCTTTTATCTGAACACTTATTTTAGTCAAATATGTGTCTCTTTCCTCGTCCTCATTTTTATAAAGGGGTTCTATTTCAAACAAAAGTAGATTCTTGTATCCTTGTGGGCATCTATGTCTAAGAACTTTAGAAGAGTTCCCATTAGCGCGATTTATCTTGACTGGACTGGAGTTTTGTACTAGATGTGACATGCTCTTTTTGGTTTGTTCAGTATTTGGTTGAACTACCGCTGGCTGACTTTTAAAAACTGTAGCTTTTTAAGGTCTCTTCTTTATATTCCTAGTAGGTTATTTTATTGATTAAGTTTGTTGTGCTTATATAGTTTTATGCTTTTCCCATGGCACGAACTTTGACCAACTATGTGAACTATACTGGACTATATTGATCGCGATTCACACGTGATATAGAACAAACAACTGAGTGTTACTCTATTTTGCATGTTAGAAACCCCTGTGCAGTGCAAGTGGAGCTAAATATTGATGTTGTTGAGCTTCGCATTTTAATGAATGCTTGAGCAAAAATTCAAACTCTTAGTGCTTATTAAAAAGGTCGTACCCAGTGCACAAGGCTCCCGTTTTACGCAGGGTCTGGGAGAGGTGAATGTCGGCTAGCCTTATCCCCATTTATGGAGAGGCTGCTCCCAAGTCTCGAACCCGAGACCTACCGCTCATGGGCGAAGGCACTTGCCATCGCACCAAGTGCGACCACCCTAAACCCTAAACTCTTAGTGCTTATTGAAGAGTCAAAATTATATTATATATTTCACCCTATTCTTAGTGTAATTTGATAATTATTTTGGTAGAATTTTGATACTTTGCTTTATATTTTCAATATAGGACATTCAACTTCCTCTGGAGCAAAACGTGACCAAACGGGCGAATTTTGGACTGATTCAAATTGGAGGACGTTTGTGTGTTCCTTAGCTTGTTAGTATCAAAATCTCAACAATTTCTACCAAGCGGTTATTTTCTGGAGATTAAATGAAGGAGCAGTGTGCATTGCTGGAAAGTAACGTTTCTGGGCTTAAACTGCATTTTTGGAGCCCAAGATGACTTCAGATGGGTTCGTGGTCTTCTGGAGAAGTGTTCAGAATAGTCAAAGCTTTAAATCCAGCGATTTTGGGCCAATTTTGGAGCTGATTTGGGTTCAAAACGTGGCTATGCAGATTTTTGGGCGAATTTACCAATTCAATTTAGGATTATGTTTCCTATTTTGTTTTAATTTATTTAGTTTTCTTGTCTTATTCGAAGACCTTTTATTAGGAGGATTTTATTTAGAGTAGTATAAATAAGCCTTTTGGCAAACCTAGGGTTTTTGGGGAGAGAGAGAACGCATACAATTTTTGGAAAGAACTTTTGGGGCAAAGCTTAGAGGTTTCAAGACTTATACTTTCAAGGTGTTTTCATTCTTTTTTCTATTTCGACAAAGACTCTATGATTTTTATTATGAATATGCGTAACTAATTTTCTTTTGCTAGGGTGAGGCCATGATCCTTAGCAAGAATATGTAGTTTCTTCTTAAATTGCTTATGAATTCATGCATGAAAGTTTTGAATTGTTAATCACCAATTTAAACTATCTATTTCTCTTAGTGATTCGCGACCATTAAGATATTTAGAAAAGTAATTTGATGCAATTTTGGCGGAGGCCTGTCCCTAAAATTGACTAAGGTTTCTTGTGGTTAATATGTGTAACCTTTTAGGATGGGCGACATGTTTTAAGGGTTATATGGTTTTTCAAAGGGTTTTCACAAAACTTAATGAGTCTTGCATGCTACAGCCCGTCCCGGAAGATAATTCTTATTGACGTAAATTGACGGAAATGCCCATGGACGTTAAATTGTGTAATGTGGTTTAAGTGTTGTTTTTGAGTCGATATTCTTAAATCCTAATTGTTTGGAACCAATTAGAATTAAGTTATTGTATGTTTTGGTTGTTGACCAATCCTAGGCCACACACACATTCTCTCTCTTATCTCCCGTACTGTCTCATCTCTCTCAGACTTTCTCTCTCTCCCTTCTTCGCACGGACAAGCTACAAATCCCACACTCGAGCACGAATCGACGTTCTAAAGGTGAGATTCTTGTTCCTTGCAAGCTTCTGAGTACATCTATACCATTCTTAGGACTTGAAACCGTGAGAAACCCTAACCCCGATTTTGTGCATTGTTCATGCACACGTAAAATCTTGTGTTTCAGGGAATTTGAAGCTTATAGGAAGCTTAAGGATGTCCTCACGAGTCTCGTGGTACTTCATTGGACAGAATTGGACGTCAGAGGGCTGAGATCGACGTTTATCTAGGTAAGCCGAGCTATCGAGCTTTCTCGGGAAAAACCTAGTAGGATTTAAGCCTTGAAACTTGTATAACGTGATTCTACATGTTATTAGCTTCATTTTGGTACCAATTTTATTAAAAATGGTGAAGAAACGAAGGAGAATAGTGGTTTTGAAGTTTTACCCAGAAACCTGCAAAGTCACCGGCGACCGGGGACTTGCCGGAGAAGAAAAGAGCATATTGCATTAAGGTTAACGGAATATGTTAACGTTGTCAGTTAGAATTAACAGTTACCGTTGGTTTTAACGGAATATTTCGGAGAATATTCCTAATGGCAGTTCAAGAATCTGTCAAGATTCCCTGTGCGTGGCCGCGCGTCTTGCCTTGCACTTCCCGACACGTGGGTGGATGAAAAATTATTCTAAAAACTTGGGGATGATCCTGAGATTGTGTAGGTCACTGTGGTATATTCAAATGCCAAAATTGAGTATTGTATGAGAAGGTATTAGCTAGTTTTGCCTATGTGCTTTAAATAACGTTTTTATAGTTAATTCGCATATAAGTGAGACTTATCCCAAGGATGAGCGTGTTCAAGGGCGACTTGGGGGCTACGACCCTTTGACATACCAGTGAGTGGGCTTTTGGTTTTTAGTATATATTTATATACTTTATATTTTCCCAAAAATATGTGTTTAAATGAAAGTATGCCGTAAATGCCATGCATATAAGTATAATTCGTATATGAATTGGTAAGTGATGCTTTATATATATAAATGTGGTGCTGTGGACCCTCATGTAAGCTTAGGGGAGTTATGTTTGGTTATGTGAATTGTCGATGATGTGACATATGATTGAATGATGTTGAGCTCATAAAACTGCACTTAGGGTGATTGTGATTTAGCCATAGATATGGCACATGCCTGTTTATTATGTCACCTCCCGCATCGTATGCTCAAATTGGATCAAATTTAAGTGCACAGTCTTGTCGCATAGACCATCTTAGGTGGTTCCGACTCGTAGGTGACTAGCGATTTATCGTCTAACTATTATGTGAGAGTAGTATTGAGCATTATTATATTACACCCATTATTGTCGTATAGACCCTTTCATTTGGTTCCAACTCTCGTGCAGTATATTGCCGTATAGGTCATTATAGTGACTCTGGCTAGATTGATTTTGAGCTATGAATTCAGCCGTATAGATTACTACAGGGATTCCGGCTAACATGTTACATTTATATGAAAGTATTCTTACCTAAATTGCTTACTCTGTTATATCTTGGCATGGCATACATATGAATATGATTATGTGAAGCATGATTTGAATTGATATAATTTCATATATATTTATGTATATGTATATATCTTGATTCTGGGAAAAATTATACATGTTTTACAGCGAGGGGTTAGATATGTTGATAAATGAAATAGTTTTGTAAAACATTTGGTTTTGCCCACTCACGTTTTCTGTTTTGCGCTCCTCTAGGTTTTAGGTAAGTTTGGAGTTGCTGAGTGCGAGGACTTCGGTGGTTCTGACACATCTAAATAATTGTAGAACATCTTATAGTACTGTATAACTAGTACTTGTCCTACTGGACTGCACCTAGACTTTCTATGCTCTGATTAAAAGTGTTTACTTATGTATATTACTCCTAATACTTCCTGTTTAGTAGTGCACTCTAGTAGTTCGGTTTTTAATTATTCATATATTTCTTATCATTATTGCTTCCGCACTGTGCACATGGCTACATCACTCTCACGGGATGGCCATCATGCCTTGATCTCGGTCGGGGTGTGTCAGTTTGGTATCAGAGCCTAGGTTTAGCAGTCCTGTATAGTTCCTGAATATTCTAATCCTTGTGATGTCTTATGTCATAACTATGCCGCCTCGTAGAAAGACCCATCACTCAGCTGAGCCTAGTTTCCCTGATATTACTCAATTAGGAGAAGCTATAGTTACTGCCCTTCAAACTGGATTCCGTCCTCCCCAGAGGACACCTCTAGAGACAGTGTATAACCTGAAACTGAATCACTTCATAGGAAATGAAGGACATGAGGGGGCGGAAAAATGGCTTAATCATATCGAGAAAACCTTTCTAGTGATGCAGAGTCAGGGGAACCTTCCTCCTGATAGGTGGGTCGAGACGACTACCTGGTTTCTGGGAGAGCAGCCTGCATCCTGGTAGAGACAGGAGTCTTACCAGTTGACCCCAGCGGAGATTGCAGACTGAGGAGTATTTAAAGAGCTGTTTCGAAAAAGGTTCATTCCTCCTGAGTACATTGATCGTAAGAAACAAGAGTTTACTCATCTGAAGCAAGGAAAGATGTCAGCTAATAAGTATTACAGGATGTTTACTAATTTGTCGCGATATGATCAGGAGGTTGCTGCTAATCCGGTTGAGATGCTTCGTCGCTTCAGATTGGGTTCTAAGAAGAAATGGCGTTCCATAGCGACATTGAATCATTGTGCCACTTACGAGGAGTTTTATGAGGTTTTACTACGGATAGAGGACTCAGAGAACATGCCCAGTGAAAGTGAGGATGAGGAAGGAAATAATAGGAACCAGAGGCGAGATAATAAGGGCAAAGGACAAGCATTTCAGGGACCTTGTAAGACTCAGAATTTTAAGAGAAGTGGTGGCAGTTCCAGCTCTTCTAGTGGAGGTTTGAATTCTAACATGCAGAGAAGAGGTGGTAGATTTACTGGAGGCCTAAGGTTCCAAAGGCAGAGAGATTTTGGGGGTTCAGGTGGATTCGGTGCCCCTTTATGCCGAAAGTGTAATAATAGGCATTTTGGGGAGTGTAGGAGAGGCATCATTGGATGTTTTACTTATGGACAGATGGGTCATAGGGCTGCTAAATGCCCTTAGAGTCAGTAGAGACCCCAACAACCTTCCTTCCCACCACCTGCACCAACCCAACAAGCTTCAAGATCTGGTGGTTATACTTAGACTGGACGAGGAGGTGCCTACCATTATCAGGGCGACGCCGCTCCTTACACCTCAGGACAACATCAGTACTCTCAGGATCCTCAGTATCAGAGTAGGTACCCTCAATATCAGGGAGGATCTATGTCTTATCAGCCACATTCAGCCGGTGGATCTCAGTGGTACCAAGAAGGACAGCCCCAGCTAGGAGAGATTCCTGCTAGTAGTGTAGGATCTTCGAGGCAGTCTAGTCAGCAGAGGCAGGGACGTGGTGTTCATACCAACAGAGGTCGCAGTGGACGACAGCAGAATCAGGGGCGTATTCACAACATGTCATTGCAAGATGCCCATAATTTAATCATGGGTACGTTAAATATTCTTGGTCATTTTGCTAGAGTATTGATTGATTGTGGTGCTACACATTCTGTTATTTCTCATACTTTTGCTCAAGTGACACAACCCCATCCTACACCTCTAGGATAAAATTTAGAGTTTTCTATGCCTAGAGAGGATCGATGTTTTGTGGATCGGGTATATCCAGGATGTTCAGTGATAGTAGAGGATGTTGTTATGCTGACTAATCTTATGCCGTTGGATATTATGGATTTTGATGTGATTTTGGGCACTGATTGGTTGCACTATAATCGTGCCAAGATAGATTGTTATGGAAGGACAGTCACATTTCATTGTCCTAGATTACCTGAAGTTACATTTGTAGGAGAGCCTAGTGGGGTGAGGCATGGCATTATTTCAGCTATAAAAGCAAAGAGATTGTTGTCGTAAGGTTGTCAGGGATATTTGGCTCATGTGATGTTGAATGATGATGCTCCTGGTAGTGTGGAGGATGTTCGTGTGGTCAGATATTTTCCAGATGTATTCCTTGAGGATTTGCCTGGATTGCCACCAGATAGAGATGTGGAGTTTGTTATTGATCTGCTTCCAGGTACAAATCCTATATCCTTGACTCCTTATAGAATGGCTCCTGCTGAATTAAGAGAATTGAAAGTTCAGTTGCAAGAATTAGTGGATAAAGGTTTTATTCAACCTAGTACTTCACCTTGGGGAGCTTCAGTTTTATTTGTGAGGAAGAAAGATGGAACTTTGAAGCTGTGCATTGATTACAGGCAATTGAATCGGGTAACCATTAAGACCCGTTATCCATTGCCTCATATAGATGATTTATTCAATCAACTCACAAGTGCCTGTGTATTTTCTAAGATTGACTTGAGGTCAAGTTACTACCAGTTGAAGATTAAAAATGAAGATGTCCCTAAAACCACATTCAGGACTCGATATGGTCATTATGAGTTTCTTATAATGTCATTCGGGTTAACTAATGCACCGGCAGCTTTTATGGATTTGATGAATCGAGTATTCCAGCCATATTTGGATAGGTTTGTTATTGTCTTCATTGACGATATGCTGGTATAATCTAAGTCTAAGGTTAAGCATGCTAGACATATGAAATTGGTGTTGACCAGTTTAAGGGAACACCAGCTATATGCTAAGTTTAGCAAATGTGAATTTTGGTTGAATCAAGTGGCATTTTTGGGAAGTGTCATTTCGGCTCAAGACATTCAAGTGGATTCTCAGAAGGTGGCAGCTGTAGATAATTGAGAGCAACCTCAAACCGTCATTGAGGTACGGAGTTTCCTTGGCTTAGCAAGCTATTATAAACGGTTCGTTAAGGATTTTTCAGTGATTGCTTTGCCATTGACGAGGTTGATTGATAGGATGTTAAGTTTGAGTGGGATAATAATTGTGAGCAAAGTTTTTAGCAGTTGAAGTATTATCTCACTCATGCACCTATTCTAGCACTTCCAGATGATAGCGGTAATTATGAGGTTTATAGTGATGCTTCTCTGAATGGTTTGGGTTGTGTATTGATGCAACATGGTGGGATGATTGCTTATGCTTCGAGATAGTTGAAACCTCATGAGAAGAATTACCCTACACATGATTTGGAGTTAGTAGCTATCATCTTTGCTTTGAAGATTTGGAGACATTATCTTTATGGTGAAAAATGTAAGATCTTCACAGATCATAAGAGCCTTCAGTATCTGTTTACTCAGAGAGATCTTAATCTTCGACAGCGGAGGTGGATTGAGTTGCTTAGTGACTATGATTGCACAATTGAGTATCATCCTAGTCGTGCAAATGCAGTAGCGGATGCACTTAGTAGGAAGACTCCAGCCAGACTTAATGCCATCTAGGATTGTCATGTTCCTCTTCTAGCAGCTTTGAGATCCACTGGAGTGGAGCTAAGAATGGAAGATCGAGAAGAAGCCTTGCTTGATAATTTTCAGGTTAGGCCAATTTTAATTAATCGTGTGTTTGAGGCTCAGATGTATGATGAAGAGACCCAGGAAATAATTCAAGCAAGGAATCAAGGCAAAAAGAGGGATTTCGGGATTCGAGAAACTGATGGTATGCTTATGCAGGAAAACAGAATGTATGTGCCGAATAATGCAGAGTTAAAGAAAGAAATTTTGGATGAAGCACATATTTCGGCATATGCGATGCATCCAGGAGGCACTAAGATGTATCATACTATTAGACCATTTTATTATTGGCCAGGTATGAAAAGAGAAATTGTCGAATATGTGAGTAGGTGTGCAATTTGCCAACAGGTTAAAGCTCAAAGGAAGAAGCTGTTTGGGTTGATGCAGCCACTTCCCATTCCACAGTGGAAATGGGAAAATATTACTATGGATTTTGTGTACAAGCTTCCTCGTACATAGAATGGATATGACGGCGTTTGGGTGGTAGTTGATCAACTTACGAATTCAGCACATTTTATTCCAGTGAGGGAGAAGTATTCGTTAAGCCGATTAGCTAAGTTATTTATATTGCAGATTGTGAAGTACTATGGTGTGCCAGTTAATATTATCTCGGATCAGGATCCTAGATTTACTTCCAAGTTCTGGATAGCGTTCCAGGAAGCTCTTGGTACGAGATTGCTTTATAGTACAACATATCACCCTCAGACAGATGGACAATCTGATATGACTATTCAGACATTAGAAGATATGTTGAGATCTTCAGTGCTGCAGTTTGGAGATAGTTGGCATGATCATTTGGACTTGATGGAGTTCGACTACAACAACAGTTATCATTCGAGTATTGGTATGGCACCATTTGAGGCATTTTATGGGAAATCTTGTCGTACGCCTCTATGTTGGTTAGAGGTTGGCGAAAGAGTTTTAGTGGGCCCTGAGATAGTAGATGAGACTACTCAAAATGTTTAGGTAATTAAGTCTAACCTGAAAGCGGCCCAGGATTGACAAAAGAGCTTAGCAGACAAGCATGCCACTGATCGGAAGTATAATGAAGGCGATTGGGTATTTCTGAAGCTATCACCTTGGAAAGGTGTTGTACTATTTGGAAAGAAAGGAAAGTTGAGTCCTAGGTACATTAGACCATATATGATCACCGAGTGAGTCGGTGAGATTGCTTACAGACTTGAGTTGCCTTTCGAGTTGTCCAAGGTACACGATGTGTTTCTTGTTTCGATGCTTCGACATTATGTTTAAGATCCTTCACATGTGATTCCTCCTCAACCTTTGGAAATTAATCCAGATTTGACTTATGATGAGGAACCTATGACTCTTTTGGATTGGAAGGATAAGGAACTACGGAATAAGACAGTGCGCTTGGTGAAAGTATTATGGAGAAATCATTAAGTGGAAGAAGCTACTTGGGAGACAGAGGATCGGATGAGAGAGATGTATCCACGCTTGTTTTATGATTATTAGTGGATGTAGTGGTTGTATGTAATTTCGAGGACGAAATTTTATAAGGTAGGGAGATTGTCACAACTCGTCCCGGAAGATAATTCTTGTTAACATAAATTGACGGAAATGCCCATGGATGTTAAATTGTGTAATGTGGTTTAAGTGTTGTTTTTCAGTCAATATTCTTAAATCCTAATTGTTTGAAACCAATTTGGATTAAGTTATTGTGTATTTTGGTTGTTGACCAATCCTAGGCCATACACACATTCTCTCTCTTCTCTCTCGTACTCTCTCATCTCCCTCAGACTCTCTCTCACTCCCTTCTTCGTACGAACAAGTTACAAATCCCACACTCGAGCACGGATTGACGTTCTAAATGTGAGATTCTTGTTCCTTGCATGCTCCTGAGTACATCTATACCATTCTTAGGACTTGAAACCGTGAGAAAACCCGAGAAACCCTAACCCCAATTTTATGCATTGTTCATGCACACGTGAAATCTTGTGTTTCAGGGAATTTGAAGCTTATAGGAAGGTTAAGGAAGTCCTCACGAGTCTCGGGGTACTTCATTGGACGGAATTGGACGTCGGAGGGCTAAGATCGACGTTTATCTAGGTAAGCCGAGCTATTGAGCTTTCTCAAGGAAAACCTAGTAGGATTTAAGCCTTGAAACTTGTATAACGTGATTCTACATGTTATTAGCTTCATTTTGGTACCAATTTCATTAAAAATGGTGAAGAAACGAAGAAGAATAGTGGTTTTGAAGTTTTACCTTGAAACCGGCAAAGTCACCGGCGACCAGCGACTCGCCGGAGAAGAAAGAAGCATATTCCGTTAAGGTTAACGGAATATGCTAACGCCGTCAGTTAGAATTAACAGTTACTGTTGGTTTTAACAGAATATTTCGGAGAATATTCCTAACGGCAGTTAAAGAATCTGTCAAGATTCCCTGCCCGTGGCCGCGCATCTTACCGTGCAGTCGCCGGCACGTGGGTGGATGAAAACTTATTCTAAAAATTTGGGGATGATCCTGATGTTGTTTAGGTCACTGTGGTATATTCAAATACCAAAATTAAGCATTGTATGAGAAGTTATTAGCTAGTTTTGTCTATGTGCTTTAAATAACATTTTTATAGTTAATTCGTATATAGGTGAGACTTATCCCGAGGATGAGCGTGTTCAAGGGCGACTCGGGGGCTACGACCCTTTGACATACCAGTGAGTGGGCTTTTGGTTTTCAGTATATATTTATATACCTTAAATTTTCCCAAAAATATGTGTTTAAATGAAAGTATGTCGTAAATGCCATGCATATAAGTATAATTCGTATATGAATTGGTATGTGATGCTTTATATATATAAATGTGGTGTTGTGGATGCTCAGGTAAGCTTAGGTGAGTTATGTTTGGTTATGTGAATTGTCAATGATGTGATATATGATTGAATGATGTTGAGCTCATAAAACTGCACTTAGGGTGATTGTGATTTAGCCATAGATATGGCACAGCCCTGTTTATTATGTCACCTCCTGCACCGTATACTCAAATTGGATCCAATTTAGGTGCACAATCTTGTCGCATAGACCATCTTAGGTGGTTCCGACTCGTAGGTGACTAGCGATTTATCGCCCAGCTATTATGTGAAAGTAGTATTGAGCATGATTATATTACACCCATTATTGTCGTATAGACCTTTTCATTTGGTTCCGACTCTCGTGCAGTATATTGTCGTATAGGTCATTATAGTGACTCCGGCTAGATTGATTTTGAGTTATGAATTCAGCCGTACAGATTACTATAGGGATTCCGGCTAACATGTTACATTTATATGAAAGTATTCTTACCTGAATTGCTTACTCTGTTATATCTTGGCATGACATACATATGAATATGATTATGTGAAGCATGATTTGAATTGATAAAATTTCATATATATTTATGTATATGCATATATCTTGATTCTGGGAAAAATTATACATGTTTTACAGCGAGGGGTTAGATATGTTGATAAATGAAATAGTTTTGTAAAACGTTCTTGCTCACTCGCGTTTTCTGTTTTGCATCCCTCCAAGTTTTAGGTAAGTTTGGAGTTGCTGAGTGTGAGGACTTCGGTGGTTCTGACACATCTAAATAATTGTAGGACATCATATGGTACTGTATAACTAGTACTTGTCCTACTGGACCGCACCTAGACTTTCTATGCTCTAATTAGAAGTGTTTACTTCTGTATATTACTCCTAACACTTCCTGTTTAGTAGTGCACTCTAGTAGTTCGGTTTTTAATTATTCATATATTTCTTATCATCATTGCATGTTCACATTCAATCTGGACACCACGGACGGGTTGCATGTTAGATATACGTTTTATGTTGGAGGTTCCAAGTAGGACATACTCTAGGAAAACCTAACCTTCAAAATATGCATGTATGATTCATAAGTAATTAGAAGAGTTACATAGGATTATTAGGGTGACGGCGGAACCCTTGTACTCTGTCACTTTGATTCTAAAAATTGTTTCTTTCTCCTTCTTTAAAATTGCAGTTTTAAGTAGTCCTTTTTTAATTAATTTCATTTTTCTTAATTTAGGTCATTAAATCACCCTTTTCCAAAATTTTGTTCTAAAGAAGTAGTTGAGAATTGATTTGGTGTTAATCTATTTAAATTAATCCTTGTGGAGAACGATCTTGCTTGAGCCAACTATACTACAACAATGTTGTTTCTCTTGCAAGTATTTTAGGTGTTTTTTTCCCTACTTTTGCAGGTGGTAAAATCCCTATCACTTATGTTGTTTAATTAATATAGTAAATGCTTACATGTTCTCAATTTGTATTATATTGTAATTTCAGGTTCCGAAAGCACTCGGCGGCGCAAGGAATCCTTTAGCGTATGATATTACAGCTGCTTGTTGTGGATTTATTTTGGGTTTAGTATCAGCATCTTGTCACATTAAGGGTAACGATTTGGTTTACTTTGCCCTAAGAACAAGTCCACCGGACACTTCATTACCCAGCACCCTGTTAAAAAATCAGCCCAGCACCCTGTCAATCTGCTCCAGCCCGCAAAACAGCATGGCACCCAGCCCAAGTCAGGCAACAGACCAGCCCATTTCGAACAGACCCAAAGGCCGGCCTATTTGGCTGGCGCGTCCAGCACACTCGCGATTGGGCGTGAGTAGGAGACAAGAGTGCAGGCGGCGGGGCCTGCTTGTCAGCCCACTTGTGTTCATCCATATTAGAGCTACGTCGCCCTCCTCTGTGCCGTTGGATTTCCAACGGCTAGTTTTTGTAGACCGTGGGATTTCCAATGGTAAAAAAAATTAAATTTGACTTTTAAAATGGACCGTTCAATCACAAATCAACGGTCCACGTTTTTTTCAAAAAAAAATAAAAAATTAAAAAAAAAAGGCCCAATGGTAAAAAATATGACCGTTGGCCATGTGGCAACTCCTTGGCTCTTGGATTTGAATATTTTTCAAATCCAACGGTCCAGATTAATTAACTATATTAAAATTTATTAAAAATTATGAAAAAATACAGAAAAATTATTTTAAAATACAGATTTTTTTTTTAAAAAATACAGAAAATTTTAAAAAAATGTTATTTTTTTTCTATAAATACCTAACCCTCATCTTTCACCTTATACCACATTTCAATATTTTCTACACTTTCTATACTATCTACATTGTAATATTTTCTACACTTTAATAGAAAAAAATGTCTTCGTGGAAGCTCATTGAAGATGTTACGTTGTGTGAATGTTGGGTTCACATTACTCATGACCCGATTACGGGTAATGAGATGGATAAGCGAGAAATGTGGAGTAAAATTACAAAAGCGTTTTGCGATGTACATGGAAAAGACGTCAGAACTAGTCAAGGTCTTCAAGGTCAATGGAAAAAACTCAACACATCCTTTACTTGTTGGAAAAACGCCATCTCTCATGCTTCCGGTAACTTGCGTAGTGAGACAAGTTTAGCGGATCAGGTGACAATATTTTTATTTATTTATATGCATTCCACCCACATCAATATTTTAATTTATTTAATTTCGTATGTAATTTTTATGTTATTTCTTATGTAATTTTTATATGCATTCCACCCGCATCAAAATTTAATTTATTTAATTTCTTATGTAATTTTTATTTAATTTCTTATGTCATTTTTATGTAATTTATATGCATTCCACCCGCATCAATATTTTAATTTATTTATTTGTGTTACACCCGCATTTTTTAACACTATCTTATCCCACATTTTTATAGACACTACAAGCTCAAGCTTTCTACAATTCAAAGAACTAGAACAAATCATTCAACAAATGGGAATGTTGGGAAATTGTCAAAGATTGCCCTAAATACAAAATTGTGGCAACCGGTCCAAAAGTTGTCATGCACGGCATGGGTTTACGTAGTTCGCCAGAACCAGACACGGCCGAACAAGAAGCCGACACATTTCAAGACACGGAAGGGACGCCTGAACAAGTGCCCGAGACACGAAAGGGCTGTCCCTAAAATTGACTAAGGCTTCTTGTGGTTAATATGTGTAACCTTTTAGGATGAACGACACGTTTTAAGGGTTATATGGTTTTTCAAAGGGTTTTCAAAGGGTTGCATGTTAGATATACGTTCTATGTTGGAGGTTCCAAGTAGGATATACTCTAGGAAAACCTAACCTTCAAAATATGCATGTATGGTTCATAAGTAATTAGAAGAGTTACATAGGATTGTTAGGGTGACGGCGGAACCCTAGTGCTTTGTCACTTTGATTCTAAAAATTGTTTTTTATCCTTCTTTAAAATTGCAGTTTTAAGTAGTCTTTTTAATTAAATTCGTTTTTCTTAATTTAGGTCGTTAAATCACCCTTTTCCAAAATTTTGTTCTAAATAAGTAGTTGAGAATTGATTTGGCGTTAATCTATTTAAATTAATCCTTGTGGAGAACGACCTTGCTTGAGCCAACTATACTACGACAATCTTGTTTCTCTTGCAAGTATTTTAGGTATTTTTATCCCTACTTTTGTAGGTGGTAAAATCCCTATCTCTTATGTTGTTTAATTAATTCAGTAAATGCTTACATTTTTTCAATTTGTATTATTTTGTAATTTCAAGTTCAGAAAGCACTTGGTGGGCGCAAGGAATCCTTTAGCATATGATATTACAGCTGCTTGTAGTGGATTTATTTTGGGTCTAGTATTAGCGTCTTGTCACATTAAGGGTAACGACTTGGTTTACTTTGCTCTAAGGATGCCCACTGTTATTTCCCATGTTTAATTGATTAAACTATATTGTGCAAACTGCAGCTGGTGGATTAAAAAATGTTCTTGTTATTGGGGTTGATGCTCTTTCTCGGATTGTTGACTGGACCGATAGAAGAACGTGTAGTCGCTTCTAAGGTATAAAATATCGATGATATCGGAAATATCGATAGTCCAAAAACACGAAAATTTCGATAAAAATATCATGATATTATCGTTATCGATAAAAATTGAATAAAAACTACAGAAACTGTAAGAAAAACTTGGAAATTTTTATTGAAACTTTGCAGGATGTTTATTTAGTCAATTATCTATTAGTTTATCACAGAAAATTGGAAGGAAATGCATTGCATGATAGATATAACTGATTTAAGTTGATTATATAGCGAGTTGGTAAACATTGTGAGTGTAGAAAATATGTAGTAATTAATGAAAGAAGTTTAAACACACCATAATCATGTATATATAATGAATTAGTACAATATTTTACACTTTATACATTGCATGGTACTAAAATATCGATAATATCGGAAATATCGGTAGTCCAAAAACACGAAAATTTTGATGGAAATTTCAGGATATTATGAATATTTTTAGACCATGATCTCTTCGGGGATGTTGCTGGGGCTGTATTAATACAGGTGTGTTTACTTTGCATAAGGAATTTTTGGCTTATATCTAAGCACTGGTTTCCTATATAAGGGCATTGAAGTTCCTCTCAGCTTCTAACTTTGGACTTTGCTTTATTTGGCAGTTAATTTTGTCTCCCTTTTTCAGAAAGTCATACCATACTATCTTAATATTGTCGTTTCCAGAATTGATCGAATAAATTATTAGCAAAGATTTCATTCCACACATTTTATTGCACTTAGCAGAAATTTCATAATTGTTTAGGCCTGCGATGGTGAGGATGATGGTTTGCTTTCTTTTGATATGCATAGTGATGGTGAAGGATACAGGTTTGCATTTTCTCGATTTCCATGTTTGTTTTATGAACCTTTTCAGCAAGTACAGTATTTTTCTGATACTGACCGATCACTCTCTTTGCAGACATCTAAATGCCGCCTTGAAAGAAAATGAAACAGACGATGAGTTGGGTTCTAATGGTTCAGTCCTAGGCTTCCCTCCAAGACAAGCTTCATATTCCTGCCTTCAAATGAATGGTAAAGAGGTCTTTCACTTTGCTGTGCGTGTTATGCCGCAGTCAATTGAGTATTCCCTTGCAAAGGCTGGTCTCCCTGCATCTAGCATTGATTTGTTACTGCTCCATCAGGTATGACGAATGATATCTTTGGGAAAGTTTACCCCAGGTTTTACTGATTAAACGATTTCTCTACTCTACCGTCAGTTATAGCTACCGATTATCATTTAACTGCAATTTCTTTCCCACATTACGTTTAATTTCAGAAAATATTTAGGAGTGGAAAATAGACATATACGACAAGTAACTTCAGCCTAATAATTTTTTATTTCCAAAACTATACCAGCCTGTCGTATATGTCCAGTGAACTAAACCGGTACACTACCATAACAACAACAACAACAAAGCCTTTTCCCACTAAGTGGGGTCAGCTATGTGAATCCTAGAACGCCATTGCGCTCGGTTTTGTGTCATGTACTCCGTTAGATCCAAGTACTCTAAGTCTTTTCTTAGGGTCTCTTCCAAAGTTTTCCTAGGTCTTCCTCTACCCCTTCGGCCCTGAACCTCTGTCTCGTAGTCACATTTTCGAACTGGAGCGTCAGTAGGCCTTCTTTGCACATGTCCAACCCACTCATTCCTACTCTTATCCTTTCTTGTGAGCCCACACCTCCAACGAAGTATCCTCATCTCCTGTACACCCATTTTGTGTATGTGTTGATGTTTCACCACCCAACATTTTGTGCCATACAGCATCGCCGACCTTATTGCCATCCTATAAAATTTTCCCTTGAGCTTCAGTGGCATACGACGGTCACACAACACGTCGGATGCACTCTTCCACTTCATTCATCCCGCTTGTATTCCATATATTCTGTCTTTGATCGGCTTAGGCGAAGACCTTTAGATTCCAACACTTCTCTCCAAAGGTTAAGCTTCGCATTTACCCCTTCCTGAGTTTCATCTATCAACCCTATATCGACTGCGTAAAGCATACACCGAGGAATAACATCTTGAATATGTCCTATTAACTCATCCATTACCAATGTAAAAAGGTAAGGACTTAAGGATTGTTGATGCACAAAATCAGTGAGGATTTTGGTACAACAAAAAGTATTAAGTTTGTGACCTTCGCTAGATTGCTCCGGTCATTAGTGTGGATAAGTATGTAAAAGGATAGAGACAGGAGAGCAAACACAAGATGTACGTGGTTCACCCAGATTGGCTACGTCCACGAAGTAGAAGAGTTCTCATTAATTGTGAAGGGTTTACACAAGTACATAGGTTCCAGCTCTCCTTTAGTGGGTACAAGTGAATGATTTAGTACAAATGACATTAGTGAAATATTTTGGGAGAATGATCTCCTTTTATAGAAGAAAGTTTCTAGCCTTGTTCTGACATTGACACGATGTGTTAATTGGCTTCCGATGTTGACACGTGTCTATGATTAGTTCTGATGTCGACACGTGTCGCTCTGTGAAAAGCTCCTCGGTTGGGGACTTGCAAGATCCAAGCTACTGAGTAATCACGAAACTTCTAAGTACCGAAGTGTGGTATCGTTTTCACTTGCCTTATCTGTCTCATAGGTAGATGTGGCATCTTCTCTGGAAGTACTCTTTCTCCGTCCAGGGTGGTATCTTTAACTGGTGGAGATGCATAAGGTAATGTATCAATTTCAATTGAAGCTTACTTGTAGTTTCAGGCGTGGTTAAGCGTGATACGAACCATGTAGTAGGAGTCCCCCAAGTCGCCGAGCTAGGGAATCTACTGAAAGAGGTGACAGACAAGGTAAGCAATCAGAGCTCCAAGAAATCAGTCCCAGATCAGAAGTTTGATTTCGAGTTCCGGCTGATTGTTCTCATTCTCCTTATCTTGCAGTCAGCATGAAGGATAAATAGAAGAAAAGGAAAAGAGATGATAAAAGATACTTTTGCTTTTGAAGAAGTAACTTTCCACTGGCTTATTTTTGAACTGGGCTGGAAGGTTTTCTGATTACCTCCAGAGTATAAGGCCGACTGAAGAATTTGAGGGTCAAAACAAGTCCATCAAATCTAGAGTACGTTCGACCCTGCTGATATGGGATACTTTTGCTTTTGACAGAGTAATGGATGTATCGGCACGTGTGCTGTTACGCTTGTCTCCACATGCTTCCTTGTATCCTTCTCACTTGCCCTATCTGTTCCTCAGGCAGATGCGGTATCTTCCCTGGAAGCATAAGATGTTGAAGATGAGTACTCGAGAGCAATGCCAGGTAAGTAATCAGGTAAGGGGTTCCAGGCAGTCAGTTCCTGGCTGGAAGCTTGATTCCAAGTGCTGACTGATTGCTCTCTTTCTCCTTGTCTTGCAGGTAAGAACAAGGCCAAAGGAAAAGACAGGGAAAAAGCATGATATGGGATACTCTTGCTTTTAACCCTGATGATATGAGATATTCTTGCTCTAGTATAGCTTGTTTGCAGAGGTATTATCGGGGGGAAAGAAAGCTGAATATTTCGAGAAGGCTTCGTTGGGAGTGCCCTCTCAGATATGAGGAAGGGTTGAGCATTTTTGCAGGTCTGCCTGTCCGTTGGGGATGGAGGTCGACATATATAGGAGTCTCCCTAACAACAAGTAGTAATGCTATTCCTTTACCCTGCTTGGTCATAGCACGGTAGTAGCTGGGAGCTTCACTCTCTGTCACACTTTTGAAAAAGTGGTCTGTGGTATCTGGAAAGCTGATGTTGCGTGTGAAGATTACAGACAAGCTTTATCCAAGGAGATCTGGCTCTCGAAGTTGAGAAAGCGATGCCTCTTCGGTTTTCAAACAAGCAATCCTGTCGGGGATCTGGCTCTCGAGATTCGAAGAACGGTGCCTCTTCGATTTTTGAGAAAGCAATCCTGCTGGGAGTCTAGCTCTTGAAATTCGGAGAGCGGTGTCTCTTCGATTTTTGAGAAAGTAATCTTGTTGGGAGTCTGGCTCTCGAGATTCGGAGGGCGGTGCCTCTTCGATTTTGGAGCAAGCAATCTTGTTGGGAGTGTTTTCTCGAATGTGAGTAAAGGTTCGGCATGTTTTGCTAGTCTACCTTGCCACGGAGCACAGAGGTTGACACATAGGTACTTTCCAATTATCCAGTAATGGTGCTGTTCCTTTACCCTTGTGGGCTAAACCTTTAAAATTTATGTGTCTAAACTTTGTTAGTGCTGTTTCTTTGCTATTCTTTTACCCTTCTTGGTCATAGTGATGTAGTGGGAGCTGCAAGCTTCACGTGTCTCAACTTTGTCAGAGAACTTTGGCAAAGTTATCTGTGGTACCCATGAGCTATGATGTTGCGTGTGGGAAGTGGGTGATTGAACAGTAAGATTCATGTGCTTTTCTACTTCACCAGAAATCTTCGACAGAATGCCCATAATTTCCGCAAAGCTGAGTGTGCGTGTGACAGGTGCTAACAAGGCTGAGAAAATAGGTGTCTCTTCGATTTCTGAAATCAGCCCTCGTGGTCTCTGAGCAGCCCAGCTTTTGAGAAAGCAAGCGCCTCTTCGATTTTTGAGATCAGCCCTCGTGGTCTTTGAGCAGCCCAGCTTTTGAGAAAGCAAACGCCTCTTCGATTTCTCTGAGATCGGCCCTCGTGGTCTCTGAGCAGCCCAGCTTTTGAGAAAGCAAACGCCTCTTCGATTTCTGAGCAGGCGCCTCTTCGATTTCTGAAGCTCCGTCGTCGAGTGCAGATTTTTATAGAGGCTGGCATTAAGTTCCAAAGCACACTTGAATCTCCACCAGTAGAAGCTCCATTCTTGCACTTCTAAGATCTTGATTTGTCCGACCTCTTCTCTCTTCAACACCTTTGAAAATGTCTGGCCCCTCCGACCGTCGTTTTGACTTGAACCTTGTTGAAGAGGCAGCCCCGCCTTCTCCAGACAACATATGGCGCCCATCCTTCGTCTCCCCTACTGGTCCTCTTACCGTTGGGGATTCCGTGATGAAGAATGATATGACCGCTGCGGTGGTGGCCAGGAACCTTCTCACTCCCAAAGATAACAGACTACTTTCCAAACGGTCTGATGAGTTGGCTGTTAAGGATTCTCTGGCTCTCAGTGTTCAGTGTGCAGGTTCTGTGTCTAATATGGCCCAACGCCTATTTGCTCGAACCCGCCAAGTTGAATCATTGGCGGCTGAAGTGATGAGTCTCAAACAGGAGATTAGAGGGCTCAAGCATGAGAATAAACAGTTGCACCGGCTCGCACATGACTATGCTACAAACATGAAGAGGAAGCTTGACCAGATGAAGGAAACTGATGGTCAGGTTTTACTTGATCATCAGAGATTTGTGGGTTTGTTCCAAAGGCATTTATTGCCTTCGTCTTCTGGGGCTGTACCGCGTAATGAAGCTCCAAATGATCAACCTCTGATGCCTCCTCCTTCTAGGGTTCTGTCCAGTACTGAGGCTCCGAAATGATCCCCCTCCGGTGCCTTCTCTTTCTGGGGCTCTACCGACTGCTGAGACTTCTCCTAAGCAACCTTTGTGAAGGCTCCCTCTTGTTTGTTTATTTTGACTCATGTATATGTACATATTTGTAACTTATCGGGGATATCAATAAATAAGCTTTCCTTCATTTCAACGTATTGTGTTAAATACACCAAAGCCTTCTTCGCTAAGTTCTTTGAATTTTCTTTTGTTGAAGCTTGTATGTTGAAGCTTTCTGAGTGGAGCATGTAGGTTGAGGTAGTGTTCCCTTAATTTCCCGAGTGAGGAAAACTTCTCGGTTGGAGACTTGGAAAAATCCAAGTCACTGAGTGGGATCGGCTATATGAATCTTAGAACGCCATTGTGCTCGATCCTGTGTCATGTCCTCCGTTAGATCCAAGTACTCTAAGTCTTTTCTTAGAGTCTCTTCCAAAGTTTTCCTAGGTCTTCCTCTACCCCTTCGGCCCTGAACCTCTGTCCCATAGTCGCATCTTCTAATCGGAGCGTCAGTAGGCCTTCTTTGCACATGTCCAAACCACCGTAACCGATTTTCTCTCATCTTTCCTTCAATTTCGGCTACTCCTACTTTACCCCGGATATCCTCATTCCTAATCTTATCCTTTCTCGTGTGCCCACACATCCAACGAAGCATCCTCATCTCCGCTACACCCATTTTGTGTACGTGTTGATGCTTTCACC